TGTTTGGAAACCAACCCACAAACTTGGAGAACGAACCTTCACTCTCATTCTACACCCGAGCTACAGATATTTGCCATTATTGCAATTCTAGAGTGTGATTATCCTAAATATATTCCTCTTTCCATGATCCAGCCCTGGACTATGCTGTCTCTTGTCTCACCTCCCCCTTCCCTGGAATGTGCTCCCTCCCTCCTGGGAAACTGATGTTTCACTGTAGTCCATCATAGCAGACACATTCGTAGACACATTCCATCACAATTACTGCATTTAGGTTTATAAGTCACAAACTCTGAGTCACTAGGAGTGGAATGGGAAATAAGCTTAATTAATTAATTAATTAATTAATTATTAATATTACCATCTAGTGGAACTTTTTATAGCTCATCAAATTAAATTATAATCATTAAAATGTCTAACTGTTCTTAAGGCTAAATTTAAATTAGAATTAAAATAATCTATAAATTGAATCTGGTTGAATATGTAGACACAGCCCTGCCAGGAACCATTGTAACCTCTCTTGTAGAAATTAAGCACTCCATTTTGAATAAATTAACGATCTGAATTCATAATTTTACCATCAAGTATGAGTGTTTTTGTTGTTATTTAAAGTTATGTTTCCATTTTATTGCATTTGTTGTATGTTTCATTGACTATGTCACTGTTGCTTTTGTATAGCACTTAAGAGACCTTCAGAGTAATGCATTTTTTAAAATTTCATTTGTAGTGTAGAGTATATATCTATGCTTTGATTTCATCAATATTTGGATTAAGACAAACCAATATGTTTATTTTAAAAGTTGCCTCTTTACATGTTACCTTGCCCTGATGATCGTGCTTCATTTCCCAACCCCGTGGCAATTCTAGCTGTTTGTTGGCAAACATGTTCAAAAAGCCAACTAAATCGCGATTATGCTGGTAGCGCTCAAAATGATGGGTATCTCGTCGAACTTTGGTGATCATGTGCTTCAGACAAGTATTATTTGTAAACATTCTGTAGGCACTCTGGCAGAAGGAGAAGAAATCAAAAGTTATTTTCGGATTCTTGGACTAACATTTTAAAGGCTTCATAAGTTTTGAAAAATGTATAGTACAAGCCAAGGGAATTTGCCATCCCCTTAACATAAACTCCAATTCCTCAAGAATTATCTGCTCACTATACTTCTGGTGATGTGCAATGTTAACAGTAGGATGAGATAACCAGTTTTCAGAGCTGAATTAAATCTTTGCATTGGTTAAATGTTTAACCAATGCAAAGTTAAAAGCTTTAAACTCCTTGTTTAGTCTGGATGCAAAGAAAGTAATCACATGATAAGCATGTGGAGGAAATTTTTTTAACTTATGGTGAAAACAACTACTATGGATGCTTCTGAAGTTAAACATATCATCATGTTGTGCAAAATAATTTGATTCAAGCCAATATACTCCCCCCACCCACCCCCCAAAAAACAACTAATTCTCTGTTTCATTCCATTCCCCACTCCCAATCCTGGAACAGTCAGTAATTACAAATTTAATAAAGTAAAAAGGCAAGAAGAAACATGTATCGAATCCCTAGAGGCATACCAAAGCCCAGAGTGTCACACTGAGGATTTCAGTTCTCATAACAGAATTATTACTTGTATTTCTCATACTACACCTTCAGACCATCAACAAACCATTGATAATTCCTTCAGCTGCTTGCCAGAGCCACTCTGATCATTCTGTCAAGATAGTTCCTTAAGCAAAAGGCAGTCACAGAAAAAGCCCTAATCCATATTACTACAACTGACACCCTTCAGCAAACCATGGGATTTTATTTTGTAAACCCTCCTAGGTGGCCTTTTAGAGCCAATAGGTGCTATGTAATTTTTAAAAATTAAACATATTTATGTGTGCTTGTGCATTGACGCACACATTTTGTTGGAGGTTCAACTTGCCATTATTCTAATATGCAAAAAATGTGGTACTAAAAATGCAAATATATTCCACTCCTCCATGGCCCACAACCAAGCTTGATTTGTAGGAGCTACTCACAGGGTTTGAATGCAGCACGGTGAAAAATTCTGGGCTGATGAGGAATTTTACTGGGGGTGACTGGAGCAGCAGAGTAAGCCTGGATCTAGAGGTAGAATGAGGCAGCACATTGTCCCTTCGGTAATCTAATACAAAGACGTAGTCAGAGTTATTGAGTCGGACAAGGACTTCAGTGCCATCAAGGAGAATAAGTAAAAACTTAACTATTTTTATCTTTATATGTATCGGGGAATACTTAATTTTTCCTTAGTATTAAATACTACTATAAAATGGTGTCTTAAACACTTTTTGGAAGTAAACAGATTTAAGTGAATAAATGGATAAAGAATACGGTTAGATCATTACCCCAAGTGAATAAGAAAAAACAATTGACAGTCACAGTAGCACCATAATTCTTTTACTTTCCTTACACTTCAAATCTCTACTTTTAACATCTGAGTGAGTTATGTCTAAATTATTTCTCATTATTTTTTAAATAATATATCCATTGGTACCTTGCTGGAATGCTGCTGAGTTTAAATTTAAAATATCGGGAATTTAGAGATAGTGAGAGAAAAGGAGATTGAATCCTGACCGTGGAAGAAACAAAAATATTTTCTAAGTATTATGGGAAAATATAAAAGAGAAAATTATACAAAACAAGAGCTTTTGCCTCTATTAGGAAGCCAATATAGGTGATTGCAAAACTTATTTATTATTCAATCAGCAGCAGCTGACAACCAAAGCATAGATATTGGAAGTCTCAAGAAATCTAAATATGATAGTGCAGGGATCTAAGGAGGTATGATTTCTTTTGGTCTTTGACAATATATTCAACAAACCAAAATTGTGTGATTACAGACCTACAACAGCAAAAAGCAGAGGCTACATCAAAGCAACCTGTACTCATCTTTTCTCCCACATTGCTTAGACAGTGCCCCAAACAGAATAAATGGGCTCTACTTGGACAATAGAATCCACTTGGAAATACCATTCAGCATTTCACCTAGATTTCTCTAAGGGGTGGGGGGGGGAGTCCTCCAACTTATTTGTGTTAAATTCATTTTTCAATGGCAACATATTTTTGTCCTCAGATATCTCAAATGAAACAGTTTAACAAGCAGTTTAAACTGAAGTTGTGTTTCTTACCAGCAGGTGGGCGATGGAAGTCAGCATCCTCTCCAGCTCCATCAAGAACAGCTGAGTGCTCCTCTGGCCTGTCATTAATCATTGTTCGGCGAATACTTTGATACCTAAAGTTCCAATACTGACATTATATATACCACACAACACAAACAATGAAGAGTTCTCTTGAAATACATCTAAAAAGCTTGTTTGTTTAATCAAAAGTTAAACCATAGCCACTTCAAGGACTTCTCGCTCTTCCTCATCTTAAACTATTTTAAACCATTATAAGAAATGTATTACCGTATATACTCAAGTATAAGCCGACGCACCTAATTTTAACACAAAAAACTGGGAAAACTTTATTGACTCGAGTATAAGCCTAGGGTGGGAAATGCAGCAGCTACTGGTAAATTTCAAAAATAAAAATAGGTACCTCTATGAAAAATAGATACTTCTATGAAATATAACTAAAAAGGCATGTTGCTTTCATTAGTGTCAAGATGGCATGAGTTAACATGGCATACTCAATTGCAAGTTAACTTCATTCACTCTTGGCATTAAAAAATGCCACCGGGAGGGAATTATTATCTAATTAAAACTTTCACTTGGACAGTTGAGAATAAGTTTGATGTTCACAATTTCCTCTTTTAAAGAGACCAGTAAATAGGGAACAAGAAGATGAAGAAAAAGAAGTGTGTTTTTTCACACTTTTCACACAGCAGTGAACAAAAATGGCATCATAGGAACAGGCTTATTCTCAGTCCAAAGGTTTGTTTCTGATTTCTTCCCTGATTTAAGGGAAATTTGGGAAACGATCTCACTATCATGAAAGTCAGTGGACTCTGCCCATGGGGCGTTTGGAAGAAAATGCCCCGCGGCATATCCACGCGCATGTAAGGGGAATCAGAAATCCCCGCGTTCAACTCCTAGCATGGCAGAAGAGAAAACGCAGCTGTGAGCAAATACTGGGAAAACCTGACTGATCAGAAGGAAGGAGGCAAAAGACGGAGGTCCCACTGGTATTTGTGAAACACTCGGTCGGCAGCGCTTAAAGTCAACGTCCTCGCTCCCACCCACCCACCCACTCAAAGCCACGAAGTCCCCCAATCGCGCAGCTCAGAATTGCCCTCCCCTCAGGTGGCAGCAACGACGCCCAGCGTTTCCCGAGACAAGAAGCTCCGCTGTGCAATGAAAGCGCACTGGCTCTGGGTTCGCGGGCTCAGAAAACAACGCGAGCCGAGGTGGCTTCGGCTCCACTTGGCTTCGTTTCCTCAGCCCCAGCTGCTTTCAGTCCGCTCGGGGGGAGGAGGAGGTGGTGGTGGTGGCTCGCGTTGTTTTCTGAGCCTGCGAGCCTAGAGCTCAGAAAACAACGTGAGCCGCCACCACCACCACCTCCTCCTCCTCCTCCCGAGCGGACTGAAAGCAGCTGGGGCTGAGGAAACGAAGCCAAGCGGAGCCGAAGCCACCCCGGCTCGCGTTGTTTTCTGAGCCCGTGAGCCTAGAGTCAGGGCGCTTTCATTGCACAGCGGAGCTTGTCTCGGGAAACGCTGGGTGTCATTGCTGTCCCCTGAGGGGAGGATGATTCTGGGCTGTGCGATTGGGGGACTGTGGCTTTGGGTGGGTGGGTGGGTGGGAGCGAGGATGGATGGAGTCCGCGAAGTGGGGCTTGCCTGCCCTTGCTGGCTGCCTCTGCTTCCTTAGGGGCGGGGAAGGGGGCTCATCTGGACCAAGGGTGAGTCTCCCCCAGTTTCCCCTGAAGGATCTTCCGTTGCTTTTGCCTTCTCCCTACGTCTTCCCTCTGTTAAAATCCCCCCCCTCCCCACACACACACTTATTTTCGGGCAGATAGATTTCGTGTCTGAGCATTCTCACATGAAGGTGGGTCTTTCCCCCCCAAAAAAAACAGTTAAGAAAAATAAAAACAATATATCCTCATACAAGAACTTTTCTGCTTCCGATTACCCCCATGCTTACAAGTTGCAAAGGAAACACGGAAGCAGGGAAGTGGCTGCCCAGCTCTGGAGCTCCGCACCATTTTTTTTTCAGAGGGGAATCTCACTCGAGTATAAGCCAAGGGGTTTTTTTCAGCACAAAAAATGTGCTGAAAAACTCAGCTTATACTCGAGTATATACGGTAACTATGAACTTGTGTCTGTGCTTGTTTTTTTTTCTTTCTTTCTCTTTCATAGTACATTTTGTTTGTTCTAAATCTTGGGGCAGACATTGCCTTGTTACTGTAAAATGCTGCAAAAACATTATGATTATACCTAAAAAATGAACCGGGAGTTTTGGTTTGTTTGTTTCCATACAATAATCCCTGTCATAATTTTAGGTATGCATTTTTCCAAACACTAGAATTTGGAAACAATAATATATATAGCCAATCCTATAAGGAATATGGCTAATATTTATTACTGTTGACAGTCATTGTGAAAGTTGCAATTCTGAACCATGAGCAATTATTTACTTTCCACACTTCCACTCTTATATGTGCCTTATGTATTGTTCCCCAACCTATACAGGTAGATTATATGACTGTTCATTCAGCAACTGCTTGAAATTCTGGGAACATTTCATCTTCACAGGTGCCAAATTATATTATAATAACTATTATAATAATTTTTCAATATTATGTTTATTAAATTCCCCATAAGTCCCCCACTTTTGCATTCAATTGTGTCTGCACCATGTCTTTAATGCTTTTTTGCACAGAATATGAAATTGTTTATTAGCTAATACTGATATTCAGTATGATGAAAGCTATGAAGAATAAGATAAATATTTTACATTTGTTTTAATTCAAGGAAATTGTGTAATTTGCAGTGATGAAGTTTTGCACTGGATTTCATTTGTATTGCTGATAAAACAAAAACTATTTGAAAATTTCTCACCGGCGATTCAATTGCTCCATCTGCTGTATGGAGTTGGAACGTTGAAGTATTTGCTGGGCTGGTGGAGCTGTGGGCCTCTGCCAAGTTGTGGTTCTGTTAACATGGTCCACATAGAATATTCTCCCATGACTGTCAATACGTGCTTCCCAATCTAAGATAAAAGGACATATCGCAAACAATAAAGATTTTAACAACTTAAAGCAATGTTTTCTATCAGACAGCGAAGGTCCCACTTTATTTGTGTATCTGTTCATTCAATTATTTTTAAGCATATATATTGATAGTTCTACATATCATGGCCATATGTGCCACATTACAGAATGGAGTCAGACGAACAAAATACAAAGTGAGAGGCTTCCTTTTCAGTATTTTGAGCTCATAGAAATCTTTAGTTATTTAATGTAGGTCTCTTGCACATTAACACACAAGTTAGGATTGTTAATTGCAGAGGAGTTGCAAAATACATATCTGATTCTGTCCATAGAATGTCCTGGATTTAATCCCTGGCATCTCAACTTGAAAAGAACTGCGTGAAAGTTTGAAGACTGCTTGTCTGCCAGAATAGATAACTATGAGTTAGGCAGGGACCTGGTTTATCCCAGGTATATTTCTCTATTCTGGTGATCCTCAGTTAAGAACAAAACTTACATCACAAAGCAATGCAGTCATAACGTCAGATTGGTGTATCTGTCATTTCTTCAGTGGCCCTATTGAAACAGGAAGAATGGGACGAGGAGCCACCGGCCGACGACCAAATGAGACGGTACATAAATTGCCTTGTGAGGGAAGCACTGGAGAACCTCGAGGTGAGGGATGCATCAGGACGCCAATGCAGGAGAGCCAGGGAACCAGAAAATGAGAGAACCCGAGCCGCTACCCCGGATCCAGTGGAGATTGAGCAGGCAGAGGGAAAAGCCAAAGAACCAGCAGCTATACCAGGTACCCGACCCCTAAACACCCTGGATCAGGGGATTAACCCTGGCCAACCCAGAGACATACAACTGCAGAGGAAGATCCCGCCCTTGGGGGTAAAATTTGATGGAGACCCCCAGAAACTGGGATTTTTCCTGGCGCAAATGCTCACCTACATGCAAGAATATGGGTGGGATTTCACAACCCAGGGTTCCTGAGTACGAACTGTCACCCTGGCCCTTGAAGGGGCAGCAGCCCGATGGATGGTGACGCTCCATAACGTCAACACCCCAGAATTAAGGAACCTCAATCACTTCATGATGGCCTTGCACCACCGCTTCGAGGACCCCCTCGCCGATAGAAAAGCCCGCGACCGCATTAGAGTCATAAAACAAGGCCGTCGCCCGGTAGCAGAACACAGCGAGGAATTTCGTGGCCTGGCCGGCTGGGTAGACTTGGCCAGAGGATATCCTAGTCTGTTAATTCAAAGATGGACTAAATGATGACCTATAAGCTGCCTGCCTGGCTCGTGGGACCCCAAACCTTTTTCACAAATGGCACATGATGGCAGAGGCGGAGATAGAAATCGGTACCGCAGTGGCAAGTCTTGGAAAAGATCCCCACCCCATGGGAAATCTTCAAACCCCAATCCACCATGACTCCAAGAACAGCTGGTTGCTTTAAGTATGGAAAGGAGGGACACCGCGCAGCAGAATGCCATTTGAAGACCCCTGCCAGAAAGCTAGACCACCCAGCAGGGGAGAAACCCGGAACATCCAGCCCTCGATGAAAGGAGACTGGCCTGAGGGGGCCGAGTAAATGTGGGATTCTGATCCCCCCACCAACCCAGAGGAAGAACCCCCAATGCTCCGAGGGGACCTGAGCCAGTCTGAAAGCGATCCGGAAGACGACCCGCTGGTAAGCAATCCAATTGAACCAATCACCCTACCCCTGAGACTGTTTATCCTCAGCCGAGGGAAGGGGAAGGAAGTTGCAGCGTTGCTGATTCAGGATGCACCCAATGCCTAATAAATCCCTCCCTTGCAGAGAAATTGGGGGTCCAACTGAAAGAAATGGAAAATCCCATCGCTTTCTGCCAATTAGATGGAACTATAGTGGGATGGGGGAGCCAGCCAGGTTTACCACAGAACCATTGAAAATAAGACTAGGGAACCATAGGGAGATGCTCACATTCATTGTAGCTCCAGGAATGGAAGAGCCGCTAGTCCTAGGTCTCACATGGCTGCGGAAATGGAATCCAAAAATAAATTGGAGGACAGGAACCGTACAATTCCAGAGAGATGTAATATTTGCAAATAGCTCAGAGGAAAGGATAAAGAAAGAGACAGAGAACAGAGAATCAGCCATGACCGGACAGTTGGCTGAACCCATTAACATCCCCAATGAGTTCTAGGATCTGGCCCAAGCATTAAATGAGAAAGCTTGTAATGAACTCCCACCCCATCGAGCCACAGACTGCGCTATTGAAATCCTACAAGGGGCTAAACTCCCCAACCACAAATGTACTGCATGTCTCCCAGAGAACTGAAAGAACTCAGAGCATTTATCGATAAAAAATTAAAAAGGGGTTTCATTGAACCTGCCCGACCAAAAATAGCTGCCCCAGTGTTATTCCATGAAAAGAAAGATGGCTCAGCACACTTATGCATTAATTACAAAAACTTGAACGCAATTTGCAAAGAGAATATGTATCCACTCCCTCCTCATGAAGGACATGTTAGCCCGCCTCTCGAAAGGAAAATTTTTTTGAAAGTTAGACCTATGAGAGGCATATTACCACATAAGAATAAAGGAAGGGGATGAGCGGAAGACAGCTTTTAACACACCATTGGGATGCTACCAAATTAAAGTGCTCCCCTTTGGACTGCAAGGAACGCCTGCTGTGTTTATGCAATTGATCAATGAAACCCTTCATGAATTTTTATATAAAGGGGTTCTAGTGTATCTTGATGATATTTTAATCTATATGGAAATGATGGAAGAACACATCAAGCTACTCCATGCAGTCCTCACAAAACTCTTAGAAGCTAAACTATATGCAAAACTCTCTAAATGTGAATTCCACCAAGAAAAAAATGACTATTTGGGGTATAGAATATCCCACGAGGGAATAGAGATGGACCCACAGAAAGTAAAAGCTGTACTGGACTGGGACCCACTGCACACCGGCAAACAACTGCAAAGCTTCCTGGGGTTTGCGAACTTTTATCGCCAATTCATTCCAGCTTTTGTAAACATCGCCCTCCCTATTACGAACTTGCTAAAAACGAACGGGGTGGGGAGAAACCCAACCCAAGGCAACCCCTTATCTGGACAATGGAATGCCAAGCAGCATTCGAGAAACTCAAATGTCTATTCTCAGCAGAACCAGTCCTTAAGCACCCAGATCCCAAACAACCTTTTGTCATCCAAGCAGGCGCCAGTGATGTTGCAGTTGGAGCAGTCCTCCTCCAAAAGGATGGAAGTGGACAATTACAACCATGCACTTATACATCCAAGAAACTGACAGAAATCGAGCAAAGATGGGCCATATGGGAGAAAGAGGCATATGCTGTGTGGTGGGCAATGCTCACATGGAGACATTTCCTGGAAGGAAACCAAATCCCCTTTGAAGTATGGACTGATCACAAAAATCTGGAAGCCCTGAAAAACCCATGGAAACTCTCCGAAAAACAAGCAAGGTGGGCTCAATACTTTAAACGTTTTAATTTCACTCTCAAATATTTTCCTGGGAGAAAGAACTTCTTAGCAGATGCACTGTCCAGAAAACCCCAATACAACAGCAAAAAGATTGAGGTTATAAAACCGATAATCCAACCAACCCAACTAGCAGCCAAAGTAATCACCCGGGCACAAGAGAAAAAAAAACCATCCCTGACTGAAGACACAACGACATCAATATTTAAGGAGGCACTACTTAAGGATGGCTGGCTCCAGGCTAACAAAAACACTTGTTTACTCAAAGATGGACTGGCTTGGGTAGAGAACAAACTTTATGTCTCTGCAAGCCAGAGAATGGACCTCATGAAACGCTGCCATGACTCCAAAATAGCAGGACACTTTGGGTTTGTAAAAAATCTGCACCTCATCGAAAGACAATTTTGGTGGCCATCCCTCAAAAAGGACATTGAAAGCTATGTTGCGAGCTGCCCTACCTGTGCTGCTGCAAAGAGAAGACAAGGAAAATATCCTGGACTTTTACAAACAGTAGCAGACCCTTCTGCTCCCTGGAAAGAGATCTCTATGGACTTTATAGAGAAGCTTCCCAAAAGTGCTGGGAATACTGTCATTTGGGTGGTAACTGATCTTTTTTCCAAACAGGTTCACTTTATTCCATGCCAAAAGATTCCAACTGCCAAGGCATTGGCAAAGATGTTTCTAATACACATTTATCGCCTTCATGGAGCTCCCCAACAGATTATCTCAGATAGGGGTGTTCAGTTCACATCCAAAATTTTGGTGGGCATTTTTAAACCTATTAGGCTCCATCCAGGGGTTGTCATCTGGAAATCACCCCCAGACTGACGGATCGACAGAGAGAATGAACAGCATATTTGAACAATATTTACCATGTTTTATTAATCACCAACAGGACAATTGGACTGACCTTCTTCCTTTTGCAGAGGTAGCACACAATAACTCAGTCCATAGTAGCAAGGGGTTCACCCCATTCCAGGTAGCCACGGACCAAGAATTCAACCCCATGCCGAAACTACCCTCCAAAGATCCTGAAATCCCCTCCCTTAAGGAGTGGATGGATAACTTACAAGCCATGTGGCCAGTGGTAAGATTGTCTTTACAGGAAGCTAGAGCAGTTTACAAAACTCAAGCAGACAAAAAACGTTGTGAACCTAAACCTTTCAAGATTGGGGACCGTGTATATTTATCCACAAAATTCTTAAAATCATTACAATCCTCTAAGAAATTAGCACCAAAATTAGGTGGCCCATTCCCCATCTCCAGAATTATTAACCCCATGATGGTAGAGCTTCTCCTTCCCAAAACACTTAGACAGGTTCATCCAGTATTTCACTGTAGTTTGCTCAAACCAGAGATCACTTCAAACCTCAGACCTCCCCTTCCCATACCTCCAACTCCCATCATGGTACATGGGGAACAACATTTTGAAATTAAAGATATCCTTGATTCACGCACTCACCATGCATTCACACAATATTTAGTAGCTTGGAAACACCTTCCTTCCTCAGAAAATGAGTG